AGTTTGGGTTTGATTATTGAGTTTGGGCTTGAGTTTGGGTATATGAGTTTCAGTTTGGGTTTGAATTTGGGTATTGAGTTTCAGTTTGGGTTTGGGTTTGTGCTTTTTTTAATCTGTAAAAGGAACTTTTTTGAATAAATTGATTGCAGTTAAAAGTAGACCCAAACCCAAACCCAAACCCAAACTCAAACTCCCAAACGGTTTGAATTTGAGTTTGGGTTTGGGTCATGTCTAATATTGATGCATACATTTATCTTATAGACAACGGGAAACTAGGAAATTGATGTAACACAGTTTGTGAGCAAAAGGATGATACAATGTAGTGTTGTTACGTCTAATTACCTTTTTCACTTTTGTATTCTACCAACACAAATTCTTACCTAGAACTCAATATTATATACTGTTTGAGAAAGACAACGAGAGGAAAAAAGAAAAAAATTCATCTGCGACTGCAGAAGGTGAGTATCCAATAGAGAATTGCATTTTGATGAGTAACACATGTGAAAAATGTAGTGAGAGTCGATAGCAACGGGGAGAGGAAAAAAGATTGACAGAAACTACTAAATTCAGAGAAAAAATAATGAATATAATGTAGTAGGAAATATGTTTTATGCTTTGTGTTGGCAACAGAAAAATGAAACTAAATGGATTCCTGGAACTTTTTCTTCATCTTAATTGCTGTCATCATAAGCATAAATCTCTAATTTCGAAGGTATCATATAATCATCTTAATATCAGTCAATCTAAATGTCATATAGCCATATTAATCAAGTTCTACATCTATATAGAATTAGTATAGTTCATTTCATCTGTAAGTGTCGAATAAGCACAAAACATATTTATATGAGTTTTAAACGTATAAAGGAAAAATTAAAGTGACAAAGACCATTTTCAATCGAGGATTTGATGATCTGTAGTAAATAAATTTAAATAAATGACAATTAGTGCATGTTTTGATCCATCTATTGTCAAATAATTTATTAAATTGTTAACAGAATTTATGAATGATGAATCTTATCAATTTCTATATTTTGTGTTATATTACATTAATGTTGTTATAAATATTTGTTTACAAGTATAATTTTTTTTACAAATAAATTAGATAAGTCTAAACATCATAGTACTAAAAGATTACACTGTTTCTCATTTGAAATGATGATTGTGGAAATGGATTAGATATATGTATGCTTCGAAATTAATTGGATGGATAGAATATTTCTTTTTTTTCTTTTCTTCTTTTAAATAGTGTTTCTAAAAATGAGTTAAATCTACATGCTCTTTATAATTAATTGTATTGAGAAAAATGCTTTTTTTTCTCTTTTCAACTTAAAATTTATTTAGCATGTAAAATAATGTTGGTGAAAATAGATTAAATCTACGTCTTCTTCATAATTAAATATATGGATTGAAATTTAGTGTTTGTATAAGAATATCTTTAAAATCTCTGCTACAGTCGTTCGTTTTCTTTTATTTCTCGTCCTCAATGTTTTTGATATTATTTCAGATACGTTGCTAAGAAGTTTATATTTAACAATTTTTTCTAGATTGCACGATAGTTTTATGATACCTAACGAAAGTGACTGATTTTTCTGGCCGAAGAAAATAATTGAAATATAGTCAAATACACTTTTATGGTTACATTATGTGTAGTCAAAGACAATAATCATATTCTAACTGTCTGAAACTAACGCGTTTCTTTCTGTTGATATTTATTGATGACGTTTGTTTGCTGTGTGTTTTAATCAGAAAATGTTATTCTATTCTTTTTGTTTTTTTTCAAATGATATTTTCTACCTTTAAATCATATCAAATGGCTTTCTCTGCGGAGAAAGAGATAGTATTCAACTGATTACCAATAACTTTCCGAAATACTTGACTTCCTTTTGTCTTAGTCTTTCATAGTAACTACGTAGGTGTTTGTTTATATAGAAGTAGTAGATGAACTCTTACTCTCTTAGCAATAAAAAATAGGAAGATGATATTAACTGAAAATTAAATATAAACTAGAAAATATTTTTAGTCAAATCAATGAAATTGTCATTTTTTAGACCATTTGAAGTATTTATTTTCTTCGATATATGCTACAATTTATTTGATTTTGTTGAACACATTTTGTCGTAAGAACATGCCTCAGGTGCTACGCGCTAACCATTACTTGAGAAAAGGAAGAAAAAGATTTTCTTCATTTTTTCTAAAGTTATCAAAGTAAACGTTGATGAAGATTGTGTTCATGAATAAATTAGAAACTATGTTGCTTCAAACATGTTGATTATAACACGTTTCTTTTTCTATAATTGTTATTGTCTATGGAGAATAACATAATCAAGAAAAGAGTTTCTTTGATTTGATGTGCTTTAGCGTTTTTCCGAGAAATTCATTTTTAGCATATCTACATTTGAGAGATTGTATATCATAGATATAATGAACATAATAGGCATAATGAAGCTGATGAGGGTGCGGGCTGTAGTAGCAAGCGTGTGTGTTTCCTTCTTATAGACCCACATCCATACTCAGGTCTTTCCACCTCACACCTTCCCCTACACACACAGTCACATCCTCATTATGCCCATTAAGCCTCATGTGTCCATTATGCTAATGGTAGCTACTTGAACTGTTCAGTCGGTCAGACAAGGAAATTCAATTGCTGGAAATTCATGTGATATTTAAGATTCACACAGTTTCCTGGAGAACGCTGTAACGCATTATATGTGGTTCCGAGTGAAACCGAACGGTTTCGGCCACTGGACCAATTCAACGGGAATATTGCTTACATGAAATTTTCGGAATACCACAGAACCGGCCATTTCCGTGCCGGATTGTTCGACCTGGAGTAGGTTGGGTGATGAACACATTTTTTATCATGATATTCTGGATACGTGGTAGTAACAAAATTTTCAAAAGATTCATGCCAACAGTAAATAACAAAGCGATGGCAGTGAAATTATTATATGATATGAGAGGCGCGGAAAAAAGAATATTGTTGGTCGCGTCTTTTTTTTTTCTTCTTTTATTAGTTGATTTTTTTTTATTTTATCTTGAAAACTTTTATGTAGTAATTTTTTTTCTATAATGAATAAAAATTATTCACATCATATATATTTCTTTTTTTGCCATTAAAATAAGAATTGAAAATAAATATGATGGAATATGATGAACATTCGAAGAAAAAAAATAAATATAAGAAAAGCGAGAACAATTAACCTTTCACCATGTGTAACAACTAAATTTTAGTGAAGAAGCATATCGGTCAAATATTTCTTGCCTATTTTCAGTCCATTGTGGGATGATGAGAAAGAAAAGAATAAACATGTATAATAGCCGATGAACATATCGTCTCTTTTTATGGGATTGTTTCTTTGACATAAACAGCATCGAGTATAATAAAGAGAAAATGAATGGGTAAGACATTTCTAATATAAATAAAATAATTTTATTTTGATCTATAGAATCTTACTGATCAATGAAACATTTTTGTTATTACCAAATGGATCTTTTTCAATGGAATACAAACAATTCTGGTGCATTTATAATACGAAAATTTGGCTTATTATTCACTTTATTGTTACACTTTTTATTGATGCTGTACTTCTCAACGGCATTGCTCTACTATTATATATAATAACTGTATACTTTGTCTATTGTTATCGAAATCGTTTCAGTAATTCTGTCGAAAACAACTGGTTGAACATAAATGATCATGGGAGATATTCATCAATAATTACTATATTTGAAAAAGAAATGAAATTGATATTCATTTATGTATATATATCTTTCTTCTATACATGGCTAGAATTGACGAATAGCAACTATATAGTAACATCTTTCAACCTTCTTCGATGGTCAATCGAAGCGTCATTAGTTCCACAAATATTATTTTATACTTTTGCTGAATATTGCTTTCTTATACTTCCGGTGGATTTTATCGAAACATATCATTCATATTACAAATCCGCGATAATAATAAAGATACCATTGTTCGTGTTGATGCGTTATGCCGAACTTGAATCTGACTTTTTTATCAATAGAATACAAATATCGCTTTTTAATATGTATTGTTACTTGTCTCAGAAATAACATATCTATTTGAAATACATTAAATAAGGACGCGAGATTATTCGTTATTCATATATTAATAGTTTCCTGTACAGGATTAGAAACAATACTTTGTCCGGGGAGTAGCTCAATAATTTGAAATAAGCTATGTAATGAATCTTATATCAGATAAAAGCTCGTCAAATATGTTGTTTATTGGCGCTACATTGTGGGGTTATGAAAACTTCTTAGTGTTGAACTTAAGAAATTTTATGCTGTTTTTAGGATGGAAAATTATATTGGTAGTAATTCAAAAATGGGTAAAATTTTTTTCTTATATATTTTTATATGATTCGAAAGAGCTCGTCGATCTCTACAAAATTGTATGTATTAACATGCTTTTAAGCCTGTTTTCCGACAAACAATTCAAAACAACTGCTTAAAATTTTTTAAACAAATCATATTTTTTATGAAAGAAAAATACTTGATTTTTCAGGGTGTGGGTGCATTATATCTATACCGACACCCACACCTACTCACATCCACACACACACACATCTATATATTTATTCTAAGTATCGTGGTTATATAGATTTGCAACATATTTTGTGAGGAATCCATTAAATAAATTAAAATACTCTTTTGTATTCAGCAGATTGTAAACTACGACTTTTTGAAACAATAAAATGATTCACACTGATTTGATGTGTACTAGTGGAGAAAAAGATACTAGTATTTGAATTTAACCTTTATGTTCTGTCTTATACATTCTCATTTCATTTATCTTTATTCAATATGTATATAATGATAAAGAAAACTAATACATCACTATTTAAATTTTTTATCTTATATCAAAATGATTTCTCTCAAATTTCATTTCAATTAAAATAATCATCAATAGTCTTATCTATTTCTTTTTTATTTTGTAATTCAAATAGAAATAAAACATTTGCAAGTAAACGATCATCATGGATTGGACAGCAGCAGTAAGTAAATCATCTTAACTTAAATTTTTTTGTAGAATAAATTTTTCATATATAGAAATCATATTATATCGGTTATAATTCAATCGAGCGAATTCTTTCTATAACTTTTATTCATAATTATCTTTTAACATGGTCAATAGCATTAATTTGTTCTTTAATACTTCCATTATTATACATATTTTCACCTGGATCTCTACGTACAACTCGTACAACACATTTTCTTCTTATTTGTATTGTATGTTTATCATATATGTCTCCTCTTTATATACAAGCATATATGACAAGTAGTAGAGGTGAACCAAATCTATCATATCATTCATGTCGTTTTATTGTTTATATATCAACATTTGCAAAACCAATAGGAATTTATTTAACATTATTATTTAGTATTGAAAGATTATTTACAAAAATCTTTTCAAAATTTGTTTTACGTTTAAATAATTATCAAAAATTATTTCAAAAATTATATACGATAATTATTTTTCTTTGTTTATTAATTATATTTTCTATACGATTATATCAAGTTTTAAAATTACTACCACGAAATCAATCCATCGTAAATCAAACATCAGATGCAGAGATGGATACATATGTAGATATATTAGATACAAGTAGTAATTCAACAGATCGTAATATTTCTTTTAAATATTGTTTCATGTCAATGAATATTGATACATACAAAAAAATTCTCTCATTTTATGTTATACAAAGTTATTGGGAGCATTTTATATTAAGCATAATTATTCTTATATTATTTACAATTACATTTCAACAATATTGTTTATTACGTAATCAACAACAAGGTTTAACACGTCGATTTAGTATTAATACAAAATTTTACATATCACTTTCATCATGTGTAATTGCATCAGAATTAATGTTACTTTTCTTTCATTTGATTGTCGATGACATTAATAATAATAATACAGATGTACAATTAATATCACTTCAGTTTATGTTATTTGCATTTAATTTCCGTTGTATTGTTCTTCCACTTGTTATTTGTATGACTACTTGTGATCCATTGAAACAATTATTATATGAACTTTTTATTGTTCGACCTTATTTAAGTAATATTGATGAAAATGATAATACAGAAACAATGAATGATCGACCAGAACCTTTTTCATCTTCACAACGAACAAGTAATCGTATTGAACAAAGATTTCGTCGTGCATTTAAACGAAACTATCCTAATAATGATGAATTACAAGATGATTTATGATTTAATCTATATTATCATTTACTATAGACAATTGAAGCAAAGTTTATTTTAAAATAAACGTTTTTTTAAATAATATTCTAGCGTTATTTATCTTTTTATTTCTAAATTTATATAAATATTCAAAAATCTATTGATTCCGTTTTTTTTTTATTTTAAAATAAGTGATACAATCTATTTTTTAGCTAATATATACTCTTACACCTTACGTATGAAAAATGAACTCTTTCGTAGTGTAGAGAAAAAAAAGATATTATCATTACGGAAGTAATAACAATAAATTGACCTAGAAAAAGGTACTCAAATTAGAGAGAGAGAAAGATATTTCCGACATAAATTACTCCATTACACATTGGACCGTTTATAATTAGGAGGTGTTTAATAAAACAGTTCATTTGACAAATAATAATAGATTATATATAGAGAACCTTCAGTTGAGTGATTTTAATAAATTTAAAAAAAAACTTCAAATTGATTCTTTAGTTTTATTCCTCGAATAAATCAAATAGAAATGAATAATTGCTTACTTTTTATTACGCAATAAGTTTTCACGTAATATCTGTTTATGAATATTTTCATTATTAATAGGTACAATACTATTAGCTTCACTTGACATTATGCTTAACAATGTATTAAGTATACTAGCAATAAATAGATTTGTTAAATCAGGAAATTGTTTTAATGTAAGGTTATAATTAGAAACAATTATTTTTTAATTAATTTTTTTGTTAACTTGAATAATTATCTCTCTGGAAGAGAAATATATTCAAGATACTTTGTAAAACTTCTACATTTTTACTGCTTGAGTTTCAAGACAAAATAGTACATCTTATCGATACACTATCAACATTAATAAAAACGAAGACTTTAACTACAAAACTATTTTTGCAACATCAGTTCATATATTCGTATTCGATGAACACTCGTATAAAAATGGGCAAACCATTTCACATGAATCTTCTGCTACCCACATATAAAAGTCAGTGATACAATATCTTATTTTTCAATGTTTAATTTTAGTTATTTATTCTAAATTTCTGAGTATATGCTATCCCAATCGATCGATCTATTTCGATAAAATATCATGTTTATTAGTTAACATCGTATGACATAGGATCTTAGATTATCGATCATGTCTGAAGTAATCAATAAGATTTGCAAACTAATCATTCTTATTTTGTATATAAAAATGTATGATGATTCTGAAGTTAATAATAACCATAGGTGCTATTTAACAAATACAAGAATTGAAAACAAGAAAATAAAAGATTTATATCAGTAAATGACTTATTACAGATGATATAATCTTCTCATTATCGTATTTTATCAATCGTTAATAATCCTATTTGTTTAAATTGAAGCAGCTGCTATTTGAAACATTAGATCAATAGTTCATATGTTGAACAAGTTGTATTGTAATAATAAATGTCACGTACATTAACGTGTTGTAATATATACTTATTAAGAAATATACAGTACATGTTCTTTATTCGATTTTGTACTTAAAATTCCAAAGGAAAACATCATTTTGTTGATATAGGATTCACCTATCACTTGTATGTTATTATAGAAAAGACGAAGAAGAAAAAGATGAGTTGAAATAAATTTGTTTCAAATTTTTTTTCTTGATTAATGTAAAACATGTTATAATAATTTCCATAATTTTCAAGGAGAAAATGTCCAAAAAAAAAAGAGATTTGACATGACAAAAGTTCAATTAATATTATTGATTGAATATCATGATCACATCGATCAAATGATAATCATCTAAATCAGACAATTGATAATGATGAGATATTATGGATTGAATAACGATAACCACAATCAAATCTATAGGAGAAAAAAAATGAATCAATGGCCTCTTTTTTTTTTGTTGTTTGTTTGTTTTAACGAACAGGAAGTATTGCCTATGGCATACGTTTGATCATTGGATGTTTTATCCTTTAGTAGTTAGCACCCTGATGTGTTTTTATTCTTCTTCTTTTAGTAACTGATATTTAGATGGATAGAGAAAATTAGAGTATATGGATGTCTGGTGATAATAGAAACCATTTTCTCATTGACATTTTCGGTGAATTGCACATTGCTGAACAGGCATATACATTTATGTCTCTATGTATATGTATATATATATAGATTCGGAAGATGGAAAAGTCAATATTATTTCTTATTGGTATTATTTGAAACAATATAATAATGACGTACGTATGTTGATTTGTTACATTCTTAAATAGGACACACGCATAGGTATTATAATAAATATAGCATAAAATAATAAAATCAAGATATTCTTAGAAAAACAGTGTAAAATATAAGTACAAAAATAACATAAGAATGCTGATAAATATCAGTTTTTTTTTAATGAAATATGTAATTTCAGACGACAAGATGATGATGATGATGATGGTATTATCTAGCAACTAATCAATGTAGATGAGAGACCGTTAAATATATATTTATAGCATTAATAGAACTTCTTATTAATTGTAATCTAGCTAAGAAAAAGAAAGAAGTTCTTCTTTTTTTTTGTAGAGTATTTTGAATAATAATCTTTACATTCAAATTTATATTGACACAGAATACCAAAAAAAAAAGAACTATTATTTGAATAATTCATCAAGAGATATATATATGTTCGTCTCAATTCTTATAAAAATATTATTCATATATAGACAAAGCTCGATCAATCATTGAGAAGAAAGAGAATATGATAATAATCACCTTTTCCTTCTTTTTGGTTTTCCGTTTTTTTTTTAAGATCTTGATTTTTTCCTTTTCTGAACGAATGAAAAACAAGTACGCTACGGAATTGAATGCAAACGTGCACGTTGTAATCGATCCTTCGATACAACTGACATCGATCAATCCTTATCCATCTCTTTCTTTGTTCATTTTTTTCCCTTTTTCTGTTCGTCGTTTGTTACATTTGTCGTTGTGAGTATCCACTTAACAAGAACAAACGAGGATGTATACGCATGAATCGCGTTTGGATGATCGTGTTGGATGGATGATTGTTGTTTTCCGCTGTCGTCCGTACCAATTCGATGACAATGATGACAGGAAAACGAGAGTGAAGAAAAAGGAATACTGGTAGTGATGACAAAACTACTACGACATGGAAGAAGAAGCCAAAGAAATGAGAGAGCGATCATTAGAACAAAGCCTTGCATTGCGTGACACGATGACGAAAGAGAGAGAGAGAGAGAGAGAGAGGGGAAAAGACCATCATGCAATCGCTGGATTTTACGCTAGAGAGTTATAAAAAAGGGGATCCAAGGTCTTCGGTAAACAATTAGACAAAGCGGTGATAACAAAAGCAAGACAAAAGAACAAGAGAATTAGTTTTTGTTGTCTGTTTACATCTTATTTTGTCATGCTTAACAATAATAATACATCAAAATTAAAATGATGACTGTAATCTACAGAAGAAAAAAACCCATTATTGTTCTTTGTTGATAGAGGTATTAAAAAAAGGAAAAGATGCCTATGCTTTCATGAATAAAATCTCATATGTGATAGGAAAAGAAGCTCATTTTGTTCGTTCTTCTATTATAACTCTTTGTGGGATAACTACATACACACTTTCTTCTCTTTTTCTTTCGACAATTTCTTTTTTCCTTTTCTTTCTCTCTTGTTGTCTCGCTATGTCTTTCAAATAACAAATCATAATAACAACCGCAGATCGACCGACCCACCGCATAGATGATTAAGAACGACAACGGCGAGAAAAACCTACTATGTCGCAAATACCACTCCCAACATCGATCGACTACTAAGATGACAACGAAGTTTCAACAACAAGAAACAAATACCAATACGAAATTGAGCATTCAACAATTCAAACAAGTACAATTATTATCATCGTAGTCTCTTTTTCTTCTTTCTCCTCCCTCTTCTTCTTCTTCACACAAACAAATATACATTTCAATCTTTTCTCTTTTCTAATGGTGCATTTCGATTCCGACATGTACCTTGGAACATTTCGGTTTTACCATCAATGGTCCTATATGCATACAGTGAGTAGTAGTTACAAATTCGATTGACACTTCATATGAAAACTAGCACATCCATACTCGCTAGAGAAAGAGAACGAGAAACAGAGTTAACAAGATAATCCGCATAATGGTCGAATATACACGCACAGATAGAGGTGTCAAACTTCTCTTTTAGGCAAATTATTTGTATGTCAGTTATTCGAGACACACAAAGAGGACAATATACTTTCATCATTCCTCTAAAACGGAAGACAAATGACGAGTAGCGATGATATGAACAAAGATACCAATGATGAAGGTAGATTTCAAATTTTTCCTTTTTTTTTTGTATTTTAAATTAGTGACATATGTCGTTTTATCAATTACAAAATAGATCGAATTTCTGAAAGAAAAGGAGGAATAAAATGACTATGTATTATATATATATATATACTTTTTTTGAAGGAAAAAAAGAGCCTATACCACCAACCAGAAGAACATTACGGAAAAACTTCCGTTCTCTTCATTAATATGATACTTCTAATTATTGACATGAAACATGGAATATGGTTCTGTATTACCTGTATAGATAGGCATAAGGAGAAAAAAAACTAAAAAAATAAAGAAATGCGTTCATTCATTCGCACTACTGTTTCTATTCGGATGCTAACAGGAAGTAACATTCGTAACGGTCGATTAGTCTTTTAATGTTTAACGAATGCTTTCCAATTAAATGATTTTTATGCTTTTATAGCTTGATTTCTTCTATATTTACCGGTTACTATTTACTAGTAGTTCATTAGGTTTCTCTATTTTATTCATCGTACCTGTAAAAAAAACCTATGAAACACTAATGATTGAATAAGCAAAAGAAACGGTAGTGTAATTTTTGTCTAGCGATTTTTTTAACACTACATTCGGTCCTTGTGTTCTTCTTTCTACTCATGTTTTCTCCTGATGACTTCAAGTTATTGATGAACTTTTTCACTCGTATGGCTTTCCTCTTAATTACCCCCCATGTGTCGTTCT